TCACAGCCTGTTAAGACACCACTGCCTCAGGGAATGGTATCTGAGCAGCATTTAAGGCTACAACGCTTAAGGCAGCATTGGGCAACTTTTAAGACAGTCTAGGAATCTGCTAAAGGACAAATCCCTAAAACGTGCCGAAATGCATTCATATTTCATTACCCAGAACACTCAGCATGTGCTACAGCACTAATGTAGCCCCCCATAATAGGGCTGAAAGTTATTCCTCCCCTGTCTCCTAATACTAGAACCCTCTAGGGGCCACCCAGTAAGAGCTTTGGGATGGACAATGAGGAAGCACTTTTTCACAGCACAGTGAAACTGCGGAACCTCTTCCCACAAGATGCAGGCGCAGCCACCAACTCAGATGGCACCAAATGGGGATTAAAGGTATTCACAGAGGGTAACACTACTGGGGGATAGCAGGATGGCAGGTGTGGGGAACCTGTAGCCCTCCAGCTTTTGCTGAACTACGACTCCCACCACCCCTGGCCATTGGCCATGCTTGCTGGCGCTGACAGGAGTTACAGTTCAGCAACAACCAAGAGGGGGGAAATTTCTCCAACTCCTATTGAGCATACATCTGAATGCCAGGTGATGGGACCAATACTGAAAGACCTCTGCCCTACATCTGGGAGTGGCATTACTCAGCGACATTTCGTCACGCGACCCACAATTAGCCTACGGAACTCATTGCCACAGGAGTCCGCAATGCCCAGTTGCTTTGCAAACAATGGTTAGGCCATTTTGGGGGAAGGGAAAAGAGAGCCGTCCATGGCTGTACCTGCGCTCCTGTTCAAAGTGGACTGTTCCTACCCCTCCAAAGATCATCTACCGCCAACTACCCAATAGGGACAGATACTGATTAACTGCAATATTTCAACATGATCATCATGATTATTATTGTAGCTTTATGCGCACTAGAAGTATTTGTATCCTGAAATGAGAGTTATAAATGACATTTTATTTTACTATAAACAAACAAACAAACAACCAAACAAACAAAAATACAGTAGTACCTCTGGTTACGAACTTAATTTGTTCCGGAGGTCCATTCTTAAGCTGAGGTACCACTTTAGCTAATGGGGCCTCCCGCTACCGCCGTGCCACCAGCGCACAATTTCTCGTCTCATTCTGAGGTAAAGTTCTTAACCCGAGGTACTACTTCCAGGTGAGCGGAGTCTGTAACCTGAAGTATTTGTAACTTGAGGTGCTTGTAACCCAAGATACCACTGTACCAGACTATGTGCCCCCGCAGCAACAATATGATGGGGAGCAACAACAGTAAAAGCAGCAGCTCAGCTTATTATTATTAACTTATTATTATATTTATAACCCACCTTTTCTCCTATAAACTCAAAAGTGGTGCCGACCCTTCTCCCTCTTTCCATTTTATCCTCACAACAACCCTGTGAGATAGTTTAGGCCAAGGAAGAGAGAAAGCAACTGTCCCCAGACTGCCCAGTGAGCTCCATGACAGAAAGCAAACCCTTGTCTCCCAGGTCCAAGTCCAGCACTCTAACCACTACACAACACTGCCTCTTGGGAGCTGCCGTCCCAGGTCACACAATATTCCAGAATGACACCCTCTGCCTCCATCCAAACGGTCCCAGGATGCTTGCTTTCACTGTGACCACATGGCTAGCTCTACCACATATCAATGGCAGCCACTCGAAAATGTGGTTTTTTTTTAAGGCTTCCAGATAAAACAGCTGTTCCTTTAGGAATCCGCCTAAGCATTGGGGGACGGAGGTCTCTGCTTCAGCAGAAAAGCGAGGCTTTTGGGCTCCTTCCATTCCCCCCAAAACACCCTCCAACTTTGCTTAATCATTCCCCCGCTTGCAAGAGGAAGGCATCACCAGCAGCCAATGGGAGAAGACTGACTCCAGCAGAGGAGGGACTGGAGGAGGAAAGAGTGAGTGACATTTCTCAAGTTACCATTCAACACTAGCCCCCCTTCAGGGAGGGAGGGAGGGAGCAGTGCAGGGAGGGTGACCTCCAGCAGCCACTTACGCCAGGAAGCGCCAGTAGGGCAATTCCTCTTAGAAGGCAAGGGAGTTCACTAGTCTGCTACATAAGCCTTGCTTGGGGATCCGGGCACCAGGAACTTGCTCACCTCAGACAGGACAAAAGCAAACAAGGGAAGCTGGAGAACTTGTCCCATTGAAACTTCTTTTCCTTTTCCTCCTCATCTGCCACACTCAGGAAGGTCACAGTCAAAGGGCGAAGGCCAGGGTCACCACTACAGAGAGATCAATAGATCCTAAAAGATGCCCTCGGGCACAAGGCACCCACTTCTCAAATCTGCCAGTGTCATATTTGTGGATCACAATGCAAATTAAACTGCAGTCTAGTGGTTAGAGCAGCGCTTCCCAAACTTGGGTCTCCAGCTGTTTTTGGACTACAACTCCCATTGTCCTTAGCTAGCAGGACCAGTGGTCAGGGATGATGGGAATTGTAGTGCAAAAACAGCTAGAGACCCCCAAGCTTAGGAAGCACTGACTTAACAGTGTCAGAGCAGAACCTGGGGGATCTGGGTTCAAATCTCCATTAAGCTCACTGGGTGATCCTGGGGGCCAGTCACTACCTCTCAGCCTAACCTGCCTCACAGGGTTGTGTGGGGATTAAATGAAGAGGGGGAAACCATGTAGGCCACCTTGAGCTCCTTGAGGAAAGAGACGGGATGTAAATGGAATAAATTAAAAAGTACCAAAAAAGCACAGCAGTCTGATTGGCGATTCACCTGCTTAGGGAAAACGGAAAGCGGCCTTCTCCTGAGTCAGACCATTGGGCCCATGTAGCTCAGTATAGTGTACACTGACTGGCAGCAGCACTCCAGGGATCAGGAAGGGAGCTTCTCCTGCCTGCAGCTAGAGATGCCTCTGGGGTCTGAGCCAGAGACCTTCTGCACACAAAGCAGATGCTCCACCCACTGAGCCAGAGCCCCATCTCCCATTGGAGTAACGTCAGGGCCATGAGCATGCAGTTGCGTTACACCAGAAATTTTCCACACACACAAAAAAAGTGTTTGCAATCAAATTATTTCCCAGTAATTGTCAAAGAGTTTGCCTGTGTATGTGTGTAAAAGCAAAGGCACATGAAGTAATTGAAAAGGCAGACACAAGGTGCGGCAATTACTCTAGAGGAATTATCACAGTCCACGTAGCCGAAACAAATGCCAAACACTCACAGAACACACCCAAGCCAGCTCTGTGTCTTGTATTTGGGGTGGAGGGGTAAAGGTCAGAGAGGACCTCACTATTTCAGTAAGACACTCATATTACTCCTTGCAGCATAAGAGGGTTTGGTTGTTTTTTTGGCAGGGGGTGCTAATGAGTTTCACACCTGAACAAGTATCTTAACCTAACTCAACAGCCATCCAAACTCTCACCCATTGTGTGAAAGCCCTACAATGCAAACCTCTTGTTAGCAGCCAACAGCAGCCTCTTGCTTCACCAAACACCACCTGCCACTCAATAATGCTAGGTTTGACACAACATTTCCCTTACCAGCACAGAGCGACTCAGCAACCCTGTGAGGTAGACCTCGGCTGCAGATACAGTGGAGAAAAAGGCAACTTGACCAAAGCTACCCAGAAAAGTAGATTTTGCTCAGCATGCTGTTGTACCAGAACTCTACACAAGGGAAATATCTACACTGTATATTTAAACCACACGGTTTTACCCAAACAATCCTGGGAACTGCAGTTTGTTAAGAGTACTAGGAACTGTGAGGGGTGAAACTACAGTTCCCAGGATTCTTTGCAGGAAGCTGCAATGCTTTAAATGTATGGTGTGCATGTTATCTACATGTCCATTGTGTGTGTGCACAAGAGGCTACATCTAAAGTTTTCCCAGCATATGAGTTTAAAAGCAGCAACCAGAGCAAATCACACAGGCTCAGTCCAGTGGCATCTTCACGGGATGAGAAGAGAGGTGACACAGACCTGTGAGTCTTCGTTGGCAGACTCCAGGCAGGCCTAGCACCTGTTCCTCCAAGCCATGAACACTTTCCACAAGCCAAGGGCTCAGAAAGCCACAACACCACCTGCAACAACGAGGGAGAATCTTACCAGAGGTCCCAGGTTTCCTACTTAAGGTGACATAGCTCCATAGTGCTTAGCTGTTCAAAGTTCATAAGGGGGAATGGAGGACCCAGAGAGCAGAGGAGAGGGGAGAATTAAGGAACAGCTTGTCTCCTTATCCCCCCCCCCCAAGGTGGGGCAGAAATGCTAGTACAGAGACATGAAAAGGAAGATACACATTTCAGTGCCACACAGCAAAGAGGAGCTCCCAAGGGCAGGCTAATGACAGTGCACTGGGGCCAAGGAGGAGTGGCTCCACGTTCAACAAAATCACGGGTGCAAAACTTTTCTGAATTTTCGAAGGACACTATAAAACGCTTTCTTTTTGTTTAATGCACAAGGCAAAGTCGGCGAGAGCACAGCGGAAGAGCCGCGCTTTAACAAGGGTTAATCTCCAGCCTTGGCTCGAGCGAAGGGATCCCCTAAGAAGCCGCCGCTTTACGAATCTAGGGTGGGTGGGAGAGTGCGTGTGGGGTGGAGAGCGGCCCATAACTAGGAAGGGCCGAACCACGTGCCACGGGCTGGGTGGGCGAAACGCCAACGCGGAGCAAGGCGAAGGAGGAGAGGTTACCGAGGCCTGCTCCTGGTGCTTCTCGGTGCAAAATGCCGCCGGCCGGCGGAGCTGAGCGCTCTCTCACCTGCTAACTGCCGCAGACCAGAAGACCCTTAAAGGGGCACAGCTGCAGGGGCGAGTCGGGAAGTTGTTGCGGGAGGGAGGGAGAGAAAACGGCAAAAAAGACCCAACAAATGCAATTTAAAAAATCGCTACTTGGGAAGGAGCAACCGTTCGTGTAATCCAGCGGAGGCCCCGGACTGCCGCTCTGTCCTCCCACAAAAAACAAAGCGTGTGTTTGATCATAAAGCAGCCCTCCCCCATGAGGACTGGCGCCTTAACCCTCCAGTTAAAGCCGCTACTCACGATCCGCCCGGTGATGCTCGCCCTCCTCCGTCTCCTCCTGGCCGTCCCACCCCCGGTGCCGGTGCCAAGCCCCCGTGCGCTGCCGCCGCGCCCGACCCCTCCACCCGCCGCGGGCTCCTCGGTCGTCCCCCCACGTGCTGCCCGACCGGGCCTTTCGGAACGCTGAGACATTCGACCGATATACACAACGTTCCGCTCGCCCCGCCCACCGCTCGCTCAACGTCCCGCTCGCCCCGCCCCTCCCGCTTACCCCCTTCTCGGCCGCAGCTCGCGCGAGACCGCGAGGGGGAAGCCACGCCCCCTCCTTCCCCCAGACTGGGCTCGTGAGTCAGAGGGCAAGAGAGAACGAGAACAGGGAGCGTGGGGAAGGGGCAAATTGTGCGCATGCGCAGCCCGCAGCATGCTTTTTTTCTCTCTCTCTCTCCACCGCCCCCCCTCCCCATGCAAGGAAATAAGAGGCGGGGTTAGTTCTGACAGGGTGTGTTTGACCCTCGTTGAGGCTGTCAGTCGCTTAAAGAGACCTTGCAGAGTAAGGCTGTGTGCGCATTTACTCTGAAGCAAGTCCCACTTTCCCTAAAAGGCCTACCGCCTAAGTAAACGTGCATAGATCGCACCATCAGGCACTCTTGCTTGGGATCAAGCCCCGAAGACGGGCTTGCTTCTAAGGAACGATGCATGAGAATTTTGATGGAGTGATAGTCATCCATTAAACATGCAAACATTTGCATCAGTAGAATATAAAAGCTCAGAGTAGCAGTCCTTTCTGTGTTATTAGAGGATGCAAGAGGCATCGTGATGGAGATGGACATTTGTATTAATTATCGTTTTAAAATCAATCTGCCCAGTTAATTGGGCAGACATTTTTAAGGTTGTCAATTTATTAATGTTATTGATTGGTGAATGTTCCAGCACTGATAGAGATTGAAAATATATTTTTGTCAGCCTTGTAGTTAATTATGATTACTGTATTCAGGGTTCTCTTAAAAGTATCCGTTGTCAGCTATGAAGTCACAGCTAGTTGTCTTTGCAGGGCTGTTGGAGGTTTTTGGGCAAAACACTGCCAGTCTATCCTATTTTACAGAGCGTTTGTGAGAGCTAATGCTGCAATCCTAGGCATACTCAACTTGCAAATAACTCCCTTGAAATCTGGGGTTCATGTCCCAGTAAATGTGCTTGGGATCAGGCTGCAAAAATGCTAAATCAAGGCTTTAGGTGGGATGCAAATAAATAAGCTTCTTCCACAGAGTGTCTGTCCCTCTGGTTTCCAAATTCCCCCTGCCCCGAACTCTTTCCACCTGGTTTGCATGTTCGCCAAAGAATGCCCGTACACTCCAAAGGATTCTTAAGAATATTAGGGGGATCACGATCATGCAGAGCACCAGTCCCCAACTCTTTGTATATCGTATTGTTGTTTTATTGCTATGGCCGATGGCTGACGCAAATAAAGATTGATTCATTCTTGTGGATTGCCCATTGCTGGGAAAGATTGCTCACCTGGCACACCAATCTTCAAAAGCCCAGGGTGCATGGCTGCTGATTTCGTCATTTAAATGCTTTGAAGGGATGCAGCAAGTTACCCCAAACCCACTGCTATAGCAGAATCAAAGCCAGAGTGTTGTTTCTAAGAGTGAGAACAGAGAGCAAAAAGCAGGTCAGATGGATTATTTGTCTGAGAATGAAACTCCTGCTGTGCCCAGCTGTTGCCCTATGTGCCAGGGAAATATGCACACAAATTCAAGTTCCACCAACCCCACTCTTTTTATGAGGTGGGTTTGTTCAGCAGAAGCCACTAGGATCTGGGTTAGGGTAGGTTTCCTTTCAGCGCTTGAGCAGGACTTGTCAACTTACCCATATTTTTCGCTCCATAAGACGCACCAGACCACAAGATGCACCTAGTTTTTGGAGGAGGAAAACAAGAAACAAAATATTCTGAATCTCAGAAGCCAGAACAGCAAGAGGGATCGCTGTGCAGTGAAAGCAGCAATCCCTCTTGCTGTTCTGGCTTCTGGGATAGCTGCGCAGCCTGCATTTGTTCCATAAGATGCACACACATTTCCCCTTCCTTTTTAGGAAGGGAAAAGTGAGTCTTACAGAGCAAAAAATATGGTATTTCCTAATGAAATATATTTGCACTTGATTTGGGGGTGAGGGGTGTGGTAGTTGATGCTCCAACCAATATAGCAGAGGAGCTTATTCCAGGTGTGTGTAGGTGGGAGAGGACGGGAGAAGAGTCAGCTGCAGGGACTCAGTGGGAGAAATGCACTCTGCACATTCCCAGGGATACTCTCTCCATAGTGTGTGAGAGAGGAATAAGAACACAGGAAGCACTGCCTATCATCCACCTGGTTCAGTAGTGTCTACTCTGACTGGCAGTGGCTCTCCAGGGTTTCAGACAGGGATTATTCTATCATCTGCTTCCTGGTTTTCTTAAACTAGAGACGCTAGGCATTGGATCTGGAACTTTCTGCATGCAAAGTCTGTGCTTTTTCACTGGGGTTGTATTCTTCCCCATTGTCCTTTGTCAGGGACCAGCTCCCGTTCACAGGGCCCGTGGAGCAGCAATGGAGAGCCTGTGGTCCTCCAGACATTGTTGGACTGCATCAGTCTCAGTCAGCATCATCAATCAGCAGTATTTCAGCAACCTATGGAGGGCCACTGCTCTACTCTGGAGAGTGGGTGCATAATCCCTAGGGTCAATGAATGTGCATGAAGATTAAGGCACCATGGAGCCTGCCAATGTGCACACTGCCGCTTCTGGGGCAAGCTTTGAACTACTGACATGGCTGGGCAATTATGTTCCTCCCTTAGTTTATCTTTAACCAAAAGAACACACACTTTCTTTGCATTTAAATCATCAGAAGATAGGCAATCATAGAGTAAATGAATTAGGCATACAAACTGGTCCCTCTATGGTCTCAGGAAGACATGAGGCTTTCTCCAATATGTACTATCTGATTCTTTTAACTGGAGATACTAGGGAATGCATGTGGGATCTTCTGCCTGCAAGGCATGTGCCCCACCTCTGAGATATATCCTCTCCTTATTTTAACCTTGTTGATTTTCCTTTGGTCTTAAATCAGGGATGAGGGATGTTGCAGGACTATAACTCCCCACATCCCTGAGCATGGTCCATGTTGGAGTCCAACAGCCTCTGGAGGGCCGCAAATGTTCCCAACTAATCCTCTGCTTTTTTTACCCATATGCATGACTAAGGCTTTCCAATAGGCATTGGCTCTTCTCAATGAGCAGGCAGAATGGGCAACAGACTATAACAAAGAAGAATTCTAAGAAGTATCAGGAAGACATGTGGGTGGGCCAACAGAGGGTGGAGATTTGGGTATGGTTGTTTTTCAGAGACACCAAAAGCTCTGCATTGTGTAGTGGCACTATTGAGATTACATGCAACCTGTCATGGTCTTTGGACAGAACAATCAAGTGGTTGGTTGGTTGACTAAATGTAGCTAACAAATTATGGCTCTATCTTACCTTGATCATCTAATACTGGTCATCTCTAGGCAATCTACAATATAATAATAAAAGGCATATTAAAAATTCAACAATATGCAACACAATAAAGCATTCCATTCTAATGACCACATCAGTAAAATACAAAATAATAAATAAAAACCACTCTCTTGACATGATCACCACACAATGCATACAAGTTGAAGCAGTAGTCAGTCAACTGGAATACAGGTGGAACCTCCCTTAGTAGAGCAGGCTGGAGTAACTGGACATGAGAAAGGGTTAATTTCCTTCATGAGCATAAATCATCCCATGAATGAGCTAATCACAGGTGCAAGGTCATCCAAGACGGTTGCTATGGTAACAGCCCAGTACCCCAACTGTATCTGTGATTAATGCACGTCGGCAAAATAGTCTGTTAGTCTGCAGTCTGTCTGTTAGTCCAATGTTGTGTCTTAAATTGCTGAATTTATTTAGAGCAGCAGAGATACTTTGTGCTTGTGTGAATCTGTTTATATCTGGGTCTGCAAAAGCCTACAAGCTGTACATATCTACATCCAGAATTGTTTTGCTGAGCCTTATCTTCTACAACAGTAAACTATCTTAACATTTATCTGCTTCTATGTGGCAACTGATACTGGGAGCAAATTCTACTGCGTGGGTATCTCACTTATGATTCCCACCAGAACATTCAATAGGTAGTTCCCTATAGGATTGTACCCAAAGCAAAACAGGGCTTGATCTCCCATTTTGCATAATTGGTGATTTTGTGACTCTGACACAAAGCCTACTGTAAATTATTTTTTTGGGGGGGGGAGGAACTCTGACCTCTCTTAATAAGTCCACAAATTTGGAATTGGCTCAACCTGTCTCAGATCACTAAAAATGTGACCTAAACCATGGGTAGGCAAACTAAGGCCTTGGGGCTGGATCCGGCCCAATTGCCTTCTAAATCCAGCCTGCGAACAGTCATGTAAACTGCGAACAGTTATGTAAAATCAGCATGTTTTTACATAGGTAGAATGTGTCCTTTTATTTAAAATGTATCTCTGGGTTATTTATGGGGCCTGCCTGGTGTTTTGACATGAGTAGAATGTGTGCTTTTATTTAAAATGCATCTCTGGGTTATTTGTGGGGCATAGGAATTCGTTCACTCCCCCCCCCAATATAGCCTGGCCCCTCACAAGGTCTGAGGGACAGTGGACTGGCCCCCTGTTGAAAAGGTTTGCTGATTCCTGACCTAAACCGTCACAGCTAATGCTCCTGTCTGTGCCACAAATTGTACTTAACATTTCCAAAATGAGTGTTCTTATATCATGTGCTTTCCTGCCCTCTTTCCATAACACTGGCACACACCCTTGATTTTTTTTTAAGTCAGCAACCTTCCATCTCAGGCCTTTTTGGAAGACAACAGCAGCAATCTTGCCTGCTGAAACAGGCCACAGCAGAAATGGCAGGAGGTAACTCTCTTGCACAGCCAGAGAAGCTTATCCCGCAGGGCATGGGATTCACTGCCTGACAAACCAGCTGAACCTACCTACACCCACTCAACATCTATAAAGTGTGGCCCTGTTTTGAATAAGAATGCTGCCTGGTAGGGCTGGGGAATCTGTGGCCCTTTGAGCATTGTTGGGTAGGAATTCCCATCATCCCTGACCACTGGCCATGCTGGGTGGGATTAATTGGAGACCTATTAATTATTATTATTATACCACCCT